TCTATGTTATAAATAAAATATTCAATTTTTATTTGTTGTATTTTAAGCGGTTTCATAATTATCAATCACAAGCTTGTAAATTTTATCAAAAAATAAATTTTTACAAACTTTCGTTATGAATTTTTTTTGGAAATAACAAAATTTATGTAAATATTTAAGTAATATGCAGTTTTACAGTATTTTGACAAAAGATGGCGCTGTGGGATTTTTATATGAACACGACGAAAGTCATTGCCATCTAGCGGATGTCCTTTAGCTTACGTCACAGCATTTCACGTCAGTTAAGAAAAATTTTAGTATTCCGTAGTAAAATAAAAAAATAATAATTTTGTTACCTGATTTTATTTAACAAGAAAAAAAAACCTTTGAAATAAGATTTTTTGGAATTTAAAAGCACATTACATAAAATAAGATAATTAATTTTAAAAATACATTGAAAAGAATGTAAAAAAAAAAAAAAAAAATTCCAAGTTAGACACTCAAAGTTTGCCATTTAATCATAATAAATCAGGAGGGGGTGTCTATTATAAAATTATATTACTAAACGTAAAAACATTGAGGTCATAACAAAGAGAAAAGAAAATATAGAGAAAAAAATTGTACAGAGTAATATATAGAAGTCTTTTAAATGAAAATAGCTATAACTCAGCTGGGGGTTCTTTGGAAAAATTAAGAAACCGTCACGCCCCTACAAGTTTTTAGGGGAATAATCCAAGTTGATATTATCGTTATTTTAGTTTGAGATTTTTCTTTTTTTTTTTAACAATTATTTTCGTTAGTATTCTAAAAATTAAAGAAAAAAAAATCTCTTTACAAAAATCTGTACTCAAGCAATACACACACACACATATCCAAAAAATAAATAAAAACTTTTAAAATTAAAAATACATACATTTAATCAGAAAATTATCATTATTATTAAGTTTAAGGACCTGTAAATATATTAAAAACCAAAAAAAAAATTTAAATGCTAAATTTTAAAAAGTATATTTTTTTAAAATAATAAAAAAAAAAGCAATCAATCAATCAATCAATCGTATAATATAAACTTTAACAGTAAAATTTTGTAATCGGCAAGTACTCAAGTTTTTACTATTATTATTATTTAAATTGCACAAAATTAAAAAAAAAAAAAAAAAAATTTCTTCTTTTTCTTTTTAATAATAATAATAATAATGATTGACAATTTTCTGTTCTAATCATTAACAAAAAAAAAAAAAATTAATTAAATAATAACTTCCTTCTTCTTCTATTATTATTATCAAATTAATTTTAATTGCCATTAATCGGGCAAAAACAAAACGAAAAAAAAATGCAAAAATTAAATTAATTAACAATATGAGAAAGAAAATTATTAATAATAATAAATAAATAAATTATTATTTAAATTTTGTTTTCAATAATACAATTTCAAATTGCACATTTACAAAATAAATCAAAATTTTATTTATGTTATCAGTTTCTTTTTTCCTTTCTTTTAATATTATTCACATAATATTTATTAATAATAATAATAATACATAATAATTATCTTTATAATCGTATATATATTATACATTTTGTATAAGTAAAAAAAAATAATAATAATAATAAATAAATAAAGAAATGGCTGTGCCAATAAAAAAAAATTCTCTGCCATCATAAACTAAATAACCGGAGAGCTAAATAACACATATGATCCTTGAATTTTATTTATTTATTTTTTTTTTTTTTCTAATTAGATTAATTAAATAACCATACATAATTAATAATACAATAAAACAATGTACTTCCCATTCTTTGGTATTTAAAAAAAAAAAAAAAAAAAAAAAAAAACAGAAACAGAAAAACAGAAAATTACAATAATACAAACTACTTTAATAATAGTACAATTAAATTTTCCATTTTTCCTTCAACATTTTCCTTCTTTTTCTTTTTTTCTTTTTTCCATAAATTTTTTTTACAATTTAAGTTTGAAAACTTATTAATAAATACAATCTAATAATAATAATAATAATATACAAATCGAATGATTAAATTTTATCATATAATTATTTCATATTTATATATTTATATATATTCAAATAATTTTCTATGTTAATATTAATAATAATAATATTATTTACAATAGTTTAATTATCATCAGGCGAAATCGCCCATTTTTTTTTTTTTTTTTACAAACTATAATTAAGATAAATTACAAGAAAAAAAAAAAAATAGAAATAATAATAATAATAATAAAACAATTTCAGTCGAATAATAACGTATAAATATTTAATAGTGATTTATTTAATAAGAATTTTATTTAAATAATAATAATAATAATAATTTTATCCCTTTTCTGATATTAAAGGAATTATTGTCGAAATAAAATATTAACAAATGTACATTTACAATTTTTTTTTTTTTTTGTCAGCAAAAGGTTAATTAATATTTTGTTTTTTTTTTTCCCTCAAAGAAATCGGCGTAATAATAATAATAATAATAATAATATTTAAAAGGAAAAAAGACGAGTCTGTCATTGTTAACAAAAAAAAAAAAAAAAAATTTGAATACCCGCAGCATTCCATAAAACTTTTTATTTTTAGGTTACACCCATATTCATCTATCTATCCACCTTTTTATTTAAATCATATTCATCATTAACTAACCATATTATTATTATTATTATTTAAATACATATTTATTCATTTTTGATAAAAAAAATACAACCTTATGGAATATTTTTTAAATTTATACACATCATCATTATCCATTTTCAATTTTTTACATACAAAAAAAAAAAAATCACAAAATTATTAACCTGTTATAAAACAATAAGATAATAATAATAATTATTATTATTAAAAAAGATAGTCATTCAAACGTTTACGTAACCCTTTTTAAATTTTCATTCTCCACAAAAAAAAAAAAAAAATTCAAATAGAAAGACAGAGAGAGAGAGAGAACAAGAAAGAGAGACAATAAAATAAAAACAAAAAATAGGAAAAACTTAATAAAAAAAGTTAATTAAAAACAAAAAATAATTTTAACCAAATAATGCCCAGGTATAATAAAAAAAAACCTAAAATGTAATCGTGTAAACTAAAAAAAATCCCCCCCCCCCAAAAAAAAAACATTTCATTAAATGAATGGCAAAACAAAAACTTTTTTTTGCGCAAATTTTGCTCCCCCCCCTCCCCTCCCCTTCGTGAAAACTCAGTCAGTCAGTCAGTCACCGGTTTATACGATTAAAAATTTTATGGCACTTTAGGTCCAGCCTGGAAATTTTAAATACAAAAAAAAACCCAGCATTATTATTATTATTTTTGCACGCCTTAATCGTCTTGCATAAACGTAACTTAAAATAATAATAATAATAATAATAATAATAATAAAACAAAGAATGAAAATTCTTAAAGCTAAATTTAATAAATACATAATTAATTAATTAATTGAAAAAAAAAAATCAAGTGCAATCTTTACTGTAATTTTTTAATAATGCCTAATTATTATTATTATTATTATTATTATTATTATTATTACAGTGACCGTTAAAAATATACAACAAAGTAGCAGCAATAATAATAATAATAATAATAGTAATTGTCTGTACAAAAACGAAACGTAAAATCAATCAAATTAAATTGCTTTAAATCGATCATATGAATGACCTAATATTACTTTTATTATTATTATTTTCACTAAAACAGTGGCGGAAACAGAATTTTTTTTAAAAAATAAAATTAATGTCACCGTTTCCAATGATAAATAAAAATAAAACCTTGATACCTTTTTTTTTTTTTTTAACAAAATTTTAATCATTTTAATTAAAAGAAATTTTTTTTTTTTTTTTACACACACACAACCTTGAACATGGCGGTTAAAGTCGATGATTTAGAATGCAACGTCATCATCATCATTTTCAACGAATAAAAAAAAAAAAATTTTTTTTTGAAAATTATTAACAACTGTCAGAAAATAATTTATAAATAATAATAATAATAATAAATAAAATTTATTTTTTATTATATGTATATATGTTTTCATAATTTATAAAATTCCCTACGACTTTTTTTTAATATAATAATTTAAATAAATAAATTTATTTATTTTTTTCTTTATTGAGCTTTTATAAAAAAAAAAAAAAACCGAAATGTCATAATCATGTGATAGAATTACATAAATTTAATTAAAATATTTAATGGATCGTAACCAAAAAAAGAAAATTTTTGGGAGTCCTAAATATTCTGAACAAAATTTAAAAGTGGAAAAAAAAAAAAAAAATTTTCCATCCTGTAAAATTTTCTTACGTTTGTCATTTAACAAATTCTTATTTATTTATGTGATTCCTTTGATTTTTACATTTTCACCACCCTCTCCCTCCCTCCCTCCCTCCCCCTTTTAAATTTCACAGACATAATTAAAATTTATTTTACTTATAAATCAGGTGAGAAAATTTCAGGTAATGAAAAAATTTAATTTTCGACTGAAACGGAAAAAAAAAAAAAACGCTTTCCCGGAAGTAGTTAACTCATTCGTACGAAAAAAAAAAAAAAAATTAATAACATAATTTTAAAGAATAAGAGAAATCGATAAATTTAACACAACATAATAATAATAATAATAATACGTGTGTGTGTAAATTAACAAAAAAATCAATTTTAAAAAAATGAAAAAAAATAAAAATAAATAACAATATATTAATTATTTTCTTTTCGAGAGAGAGAGAGAGAGAGACAGAGAGAAAGAGAAAACAAATTAACCCACTATACACGATACCTAATTTATTTATTTATTTATTAATAAATTTTTTCTTTGCAAATTATTTAAATATGTAAGCAAGGAAAACAACTGAAATTATTGCTTATTCAGCCTTTTTAACCCTGACAAAAAAAAATAAAAATATATTCAGTTCAGTTCAAGATTGCACTTTGTAAAAAAAAAAATGGAGACAGAGAGAGAGAGAGAAAATTTTAATTTTTTTTTACCACAATAACGATTCCTTGTTCTGCGCAGGGAGACCCAATTTTAGCCTAATGTTATTCTCCGTTAACGGTCACAGTTGTCCATCGCCAGGGACTGTTGTATGATCGACCTTTAACTTGATTGCTGAAATTTTTAAATAAAATCAATTAAAAAAATAAAAAAAAATACGTCACGCTCATTTACTTTAATAACATTACTATAAATTATTAACATTAACTATAATAACGGTAAATAAAAAAAGAAAAAAAATAATTTGAAATCGAGGAGGGGGCATGCATTGCAAAAATATTAAATATAATGACGAAGCGAAAATCCGTGTGAAGGGAAAGCCTTAATCCCAATCATCGTCCACCATTTAATTTAAAAATAAATATTTTCTGCTAAAAAAACAATTTTATCGAACACACATTAATGTAAATATAAATTTTTTTTAAAACAATATGGCGTTTAAAGGGTTTTGAAAAATTATTTAAAGCTCACTTCGTATAAAAAACAATTTCAATTTTGTAGAGTATATCTATATTTATATATATTATTGATTTTTTTCGTTTATAATATAATTTGTGACGTACAATTACCATAAAATATATAAATAAATAAAAAAAAATTTATAACTTTACGACCTTTAAAGTAACATTTTATGCGTTTATCAATTTTTTTTTTTTTTTTGTGGTTTATATTTATATTTAAACTACGTTGACATTATCGCGAACGTAATGAGAACAAAAAAAACCTGGTAAAATTTAATTTCCTTTTTGAAAAATTACAAATAGTATTAGAGAGAGAGAGAGAGAGAGAGAGAGAGAGAGAAACCAAATCCTATTTTAAAGCTGTAAAATAAAATAATTTAATTAATAATCTGTAACACATTTATTATTAATAAATAATAAGGACATTAATTATGTAATGAAATGTGCAATAATTTAAATTTCCCAGTCAAATAAAATAACTTGTGGGAAAATTTTTTTTCTTCCAATTTAAATATGGAAAAAAAAATTGTTAATTGTCAAAATAAAGTAATTGAACTTACCTGCCAAATAGAGGGTGCCACAATTGACCTTGTCCATCTTCTTGCGGCGGTTCTTCTTCTTCTTTCATTAATATTGGTAAACTATCCGGATCGATGGGTTTCAATAATTTTGGCGGAGACATGTTGGGATCCACGAGATTTTTCACTTTTAATTTCGGCGTTTCCGTTGAAACGTTTAATTTTTCCCGTTTGGATTTTTTGTCTTGCATCGACCAATCGTTACCCTTTTCCTCTTTGACTTTTTTCTTACGTATCTGAGTGTTGAATTGCTGGAGTCGCAATGCAACTTGGTCTGTCAGCTCGCAATTTTCCGCCAACGAATCCCAATTAGAATTATCCAATTGATAATAATTGTTTTTTTCAATTAAATTCGCTAAGGGTTTCACACTGATCGTGGGTGATGAATTTTTCTTATGATGCTGTTGTACGCTCTCGCTCGTCCGATTTCCGTGGTTTTTATGTGTTTTCTTAAGCACGGGCTGTGATTCTTGTCTGAAGCTGTTGTGCTGAGATTCCAAGCGTTTTTGATGCTCCTCAATGCATTTTTGTAAGGAGTTCGATGATGGTTGCCTGGCAGAAGAATAATCATTTTCGATGGCATCGAAAGAAGAATGACTCGTTTCTCCTCCAAAAGATCCCGATAGGGAACACGATCCTTTCGATTGGGAAAATTGCGATTTGATTTGGTGATTTAAATTACGCTCACTTCTATACATGTCTTGTGAAAAAGGTGAGGGTACGTTCGGACAATTTTGAGAAGTTGCAGAATTCTGATGAGACGCAATGACTTCTTGCCACATGGCTAATGTTTTTAAATGGGATTCTATATCCATCGGTGAAGTCGGAGTTAAAAACGGTGAAGGTTGAGGAACTTGACTTATGTTTATTTGGGGTGGTACCGTGAGTTTATTATTGTTTTGATAATTGCTACTAAGTAGCAAGTTCAAAAATGCCATGAATTCCTGTTGATTATCCACTTCAGATTGATTGATGTAAGGAAGCCACAACATCTGTCCCAAAGCAGTAGCCGCAGCCAAATCAGACATATTATTAGCAAGACCTTCGGATTGAGTTTTAGAATTCAACTGAGATTCCAAGATCTCCGCATGATATTTTTGCCATTCAATGAAAGACTCTAAAGATTTTTGATATTTGCTAGATGCCATTTTTTCCGGACTGCTAGAAAGTAATGAACGAAGGTTTGACAAAGACACTGCCAAAACATCAGAATCAGTCACGTGAGAGCAAACTTTTTCTTCCAAAGTTTTTTCCGTATGCATTGTTAAAAGGCGAGGAATTTCACTGGCGGGACTGGCGACGAGAGCCGGTAGCCTTGCTCTTGGTACAAGCAATGGATCAGGTACGGCTAGCAAAGGATTAGACAATACTTCTTTCAGTTGAGAAATAGGATCAGACTTATTGGTAGGAGCCAAAACGTCTTGAAAACTCGATTTAGAAAAGTTTTCTTCGCAAAAATCTTTAAAATTAGTTAGGCAAGATTTAAAATCCGTTGAATTTTTCAACTTTTCAGTGCAATGTTTAGATAATAAATTTTTCAAAGTAATGTCTTCGGATTTTAACTTTTTATTTTTGGATTCACTGTTCAATTCACTTACATAAGAATGCTTTAATGATTTCGATTTCTGACCGTTGGGCATCGCATCCCCAGCTTCGTGTTTTATACTCTGTACCGACGAAAGAAGGTTTTCGAGGTAAGTATTTTGATACTTTTGGGAATGAGCTGGTTTTGGTATAGGAGTGATTGTCACCTCTGGTAATGGTGCCGTCAAGGGTTCCGGGGATCGAACGGATGATGTAACGGAAACAGTCGGAGATATGTTTAGAGAAAAGTTTGATAATTTTGTGCAAGATGGCAAATTTCCATCGGAAATTTTCGGTAGGGTAAGGTCCGTTGGTGTGGACCACTCGTTTCCTTCCATTTCTTCCATTTCACTTTCTTCTACTAGTTCTAAATCAGGAATTACTTTTAATAACGGTTCTAAATCATCGCAATCAGCATCGTTGCAGTCAGGTACAAGATCAGTCACATTGGGTAATAAAGAAGTTGAATTTTCTTCGAAGTCAACACTTTCTTCTTCTTTTGATTGAATTTCAATTGCACTTTGTGGACAATTTTGAGCAGACTTTTCTATTTTTTCTGATTCGTCTTCTTCGGCAGCCACAGCATCGGTTGAGTTTAAAGAGACAGAAGTAGGTGATTCTTCTTTTTCTTCGGTCTCATTCACTGGGTAAATAAGATCCTCGTAATCTCTTGTAAAACAAAAGTCAAGTGATGGCGACCGTGGTAGTAGTATTGCCTTTTCCTCCGAAAAGAACGATTTTAATTCATCACAAGAATTGGATTTGAAAAGCGGTTTTTTATTGTTGATTATATTTGCCTCGTGACAAACAATTTCAACTGAATTGTTAGAGGAACTTTGATTTGAATTTTGCAACGCATTTTCCTGTGACAATATTTTATCATTATTATTTTCACTATCTTCTTTTTTATTAATTTCATCACATGAAACATTGTCCGTATTCAAAGAGTTACTTTCAGATTTTACAACTTTTTCCTTTTTATGCTTTCTACGTATTATTTTCTTAACTTTTTTATTTTTTTTATTTTTCTTTGGTGTAATCAGACTTTCATTCGTTTTTTCAGGCAAAACTTTTGGATTGATTGGAATGATTGCTTCAGCAAAACATTTTGTTTTTGGTATAGCTCTCCATCCCCTATGAGTTTTCTTCAACTTTAACCTATTTCTGGAATCATAGTCTTCACATAACACTTCTATTATTTTCGTATTTTCTTGACGCACCCATAAAAAAATTGGATTTAACTTGGGACTGTTCACCGTCGAGTCTTCCATTAAAACATGACTTTTTTTATTTTTACGTTGATTCAACTTTCGGGAATAAGATCCTTCCGATGAAAGAGATCGAACGGCAGAACACCTACACAGCCTATTGCAAGGACAATTTCCCTTTATGCTTTTGTTTTGACTGCCATCTTTGTCATTTTGGTCTTCGGGATTACGGATTGAATCACATGACGTCGTGACGTCACACTTATTGATCTCCTTTGAAAGAGAATTTAGTTCCCGATGTCGACACCGCAAGCGCTGCCTTCTACTTTCTACATCTTCACTGGTTGAAGCAAAGCTGTATTTATTTGAATTTTCACATGATTCGTTTTCAATATTATTTGAATTATTCAACCCAATAACCATATTTCCAGTTTTCTTTTCCGGATTAGGCTGTCTTTTAGAACGCCTAAGATTTTTTGTATTATTTCCTACAGGAGTTGATTCTTTTCCAGCCATGATTTCTCTTCTTAAACATGCACAATCTGCATCCCTTGCTACATTTTGAGACACTAATTTGTTCATAAAAACTTTTCAGGATACAATCAAGCTTTTAAAAACATTGTTTAAAGCTCTCTTTTTTTTTCTCTCAGTAAAAATTAAAAAGAAAATATATGGTAAATAATAACATTAGTCAAACAAACGGATTTTATAATAGCCACAAAAATTATATACTATAAGCGGTTCGATCGCCATTTTACAAACTTAAAATACCCCGAAATAAACAGGAAAGTGTCCATTTTCCTCTAAAAAGAAAATTAACAGATAAAAAATAGGACAAAACACAAAAAAAAAAGAAAAAAAAACAATAACAATTACTCCGTCCGGCGGAACTTCTCACAAACTGGGTTCGATTCCGAATTCTTTAACATTGCAGTCGAATCTCGAGGCGAAAATAACCGTGAAATAACGGAAAAAAACGAAAACGTTCGAATTTCAACGAAGTAAAATTTCTCCACCTACACGAATTTAAACCTAAAAAATAATTATTATTTATACGTAACTAATTTCCCATTGGTGGATGTTTATCGATAGGCGGATTAACTACGTAAAATCCCACCTATAGTCCTTGCGCAGACACCGATCGTTCTCACTCTAGCGACAATGGACGGAAACATCTGTGTCCTTGACTGCTCTCGATTCTGCCGGATCTTTCAATATTTTTTTTCTATATCCAAGAGTCTTAACCAGTAATCATGGGGGGATAATATTTTAACTCGAATACCCGAACAATATAAAAAAAAACCTAAAGAAAATATAAGAAATAAAAAAAGAATAATGAACTTTTTCACAATGACTATTCGATTTTTTTTTATTAATTTCCAACCTCGAGTAGAATAAATAAATAAAATTTTACGGTACGATATATAAAAATTTATGTTTGTAAAGTTGGCACCTACAATGAAAATAACTTGAAATTGGCGAAACGCCTAAACCAAAAAAAAAATTATTATTATTTTAAAAAATAAAATTCAATTACAGAAATGTTACATTATAAAATATCTCTGTTTTTTTTTTCAGAAAAAAATTAATCTTATTTTTCATTATTACACCATTTATGAATTAAAGGGGAGGGAGGAGGAGGAGGAGGAAAAAATCATTTATTAAATTATTTTAATTAAAATTATGTTACATTTATCATCATCATTATTTTACCAAATGTAATAAATTTACATTTAAGAAGAACACCAAGAACAAAAAAAAATGGAAATAAATAATTTTTTTTTTCTTATTAAATTTATTTACAACAACCTAATCAAAATAATAAATTTTTTTTTTTTTAAATTTGAAATGAATATGTTTAATAATTGTTTAAAAAAATTATTTACGAATGAATAAATTTACAAAAAAAAAAAAATTCATGTACGTCGTTACGGTTGATTTGAAATAAAATAATGTGTGTTTAACGAGATCTGAATTTATAATTTTCCTTTTTTTTTTTTTTTTTTTTGTAAAAACATGTTTTTTTAAAAACATTTTTAATTAAAAAACAATACAAAAGGTTCAGAAAATTAAATTATTTTACGTGATTTATTCAAAATAATAATAATAATAATAATAATAGGAAAAATTTCATATTTGTAAAAATTTTCAAATGTTTATCAAAATTTATTTTAATATTTCATTTGTTTTTAAAATTTATAATATTTTGCAAAAGTACTTTTACTAATTTAGAATTAACGTTTTTTTTTTACAAGAATTATGTTGAATTAAAATTTTTTTTTTATAATAAAATTTAAGTATAAAAAGGAAAAAAGAGGAAAACACACTCATTCCAAATGTGTATAATAAAAATTTAATATTTCAATTTTTTTTTTTTATGACCGTTCTTTTATGACTTTTTCTATGTGAAACCATTTTTCAAAATATTTCATTCAAATATAATATGTAAATATAATAATAATAATAATAATTATTTTACACTTAAAAAATCATTTTTTATTCAAATAAATTTAAGTTCTTCGTGATTTAAAATACAAAATAAAAACGTTTCAATTATTAACTGTATTATTATTATTATTATTATTAATCGATTAAAAAAATTTTTTTTTTTACACTAAATATATTAATTTATATCAACAAAAAAAGAAAAAAAATTTGCATTAATTAATTATAATTAAGTAAAAATTAATTAATTTAATTTAAAAAAAAAAAATAAACTGACTACTTATCAGTAGGCACCGGGGGGATTCGAACCCCCGATCTCCTGTTTACTAGACAGGCGCTTTAACCAACTAAGCCACGGCGCCGATGAAGACGAAGTCTCGTTGGTTTTATGTTAAGTCAACGTTTATTATAAATAATTAAAATAACGCTTTTTAAATGACGTAGGTGATAATTATTATTAAACATCTGGTAAATAATTGATTAATTTTATTTTTTTTTTTTTTTTGAGGTCGAAATTTAAATTTGATAAATGTAAAATAAATGAAGACGATGGTAAAATATATGTATATGTTAATAATAATAAACATAATAATTAAAAATTAATAAAAAAATTTCAAATATTATTTTTAGATATTTTATTTTTTTTTTATCAAACTGTAACAACCTGAAATTCCAAAAAAAAAAAAAAAAAATACTTTTTTCTCTTTGGATTTAAGACAAGTAGTAGTAATCATTTGGAAAAATGAAAAATTTTAAATATTTACCTGTTGTGATTTTTTTTTTTTAGCAAAATATAAAAGCCATAATACGTATATAAGCATTATAATGGCGGGAGCAAGAAGACCAGCTAATATTGTTGTTCTTTTCATTGTGTGATAAAATGCAATTAATATCATAACTACGGTGACACCAACGGCAAGATATCTTCCAGTTCTTCTTCTGTCTTCCTAAAAAAAAAAAAAACACATAAATCTCTTAAATAAGATTTTAATAATATTTAACATGAACATAAACAAAAAAAAAAAAAAATATTTATTTTTACATTATGATTTATATTAATAATTATTCTTACATCTGCATCAGATCTTTGAGTTTCTACATTCCTCGATGGTATAACAACTGCTGCTGTTGCTGCTGCTGCTGGTGTATTTGATTTTTCAATTTTCTCCAAATTAAAACGAACTTTATCATCTCTTTCATCATTTTTATTAATTTTTTCTAATTTTGTACATGTCGTGGAAATTGATTCCTTTTTCACCACATTTTCCCTTTGATTTTTCATTTAAAAAATGATAATTATCACTTTCAATCATTTAATAGATTCTAATTGAAATAATAATAATAATAATACCTGTTAATAATATAAATTAAAAAATACATAATTTTTTAAACAATTTTAATAAAATAATAATCATCAGGTAAATCAAATGAAAAAATAACTTTTTATTTTTATTATTATTATTATTATGTTAATAATTTAACTTTAAAAAAAATATATATTCGGTAAAATTGTATAAAAAAAATATATATAAAAAAAAAAAAAAATTGTTACATATTATAAACATAAATAAAAAAAAAAAAAAACAATGATTAATATTATTAATAAAAACGACGATTTAGTAATAATTTCTTTGAAACCTTGAAAAAATATTTTTAAATACTTGCTAAAATTATAAATCCTATTATTTATTTATTTATTTATTTATTTGTTATTAATTATGTTTTTTAATAATGCATTTGATAAAAAATTAATTAATATAGTTACGTACTTGTTTTGCATATAAAAATTAAAAATATAAAAATGACTAATTATTATTATTATTATTATTATATAAATAAAAGAGTATTTTACTAAAAAAAAAAATTGAAACAGAATATTAATACAAAAAAAAAATATTATAAATTTTAAAGAAAAAAGAAGAAAAACTTGTACTCACAAACTATGATTTAGAAAAACTAAATTTAACGATTAAACAAACCAGCAGTTTAACCGTTTACACACATACATATATATTTATCTTAAATATTTTTAAACTTTAATTCCTGTAGGATAAATAAAAAAAAGAAAAAAATTACTTTTATTTTTGCTTTCTTCCTTCTCTTTTATAAACAAATTTTCCAACAAGCTTTTAATTTGTTATTTAATAGAAAGCAGTGAGGAAAAATGTTTATAAAAAATTTTTGTTTTTGTTCATTTTATTTGTCATCTATCATCATCATCATCATCATCATCATCGACTTTTCAATACAAATATTTTAACTTTCTCTCTCATTAATTAAACTTTATTTTTATTTTTTATTTTTTTTAATAATTTGTAATTTAAAAAAATTTTACTGCATCGTTTGATGAAGATATTTAACACTGTATAAAAAAAAAATTCTAAAAAACTTATTCTGTTTCAATTTCATTTACATTTTTTTTTTGTTTCTTATAAATTTTGTGTGGATATTTTACAAGTTTCTTCAAAATCACAATTGTAAAAACTTTTTTTATATGTTTTCATTAGTTTTTCAATCGGACAAAGACCTTCTGCTGGACAACCAGGTAATTTGACTGGACGCTCTTGATGCATTGCTAATATTTTTAATTTGTCATCATCACACCTGCAAAAAGGGAGAGAGGATTAAAAAGGTCAAAGTTACAAATTATAAAAGCCAAAAAAAAATTATCACTCACTTGTAAGATACGATTGCCAAATTACTGGCAAACGAATCAATGTAACCAACTTTCCACAATCTAGGATGATCGAATCTATCATGCGTTAACCTTTTTTCATCGTAATACAAACCGAGATGAGCTAAAAGTTTAAGAATGGCTCCAGAATGTGTGAAATAAAAAGTTGCTCTTGGACCGTCCTCTGATCTGAAATTATAACGTTCGCTTCTTGTAGTTTTCTTCTGGGAAGGAAAGAAAAAATGGGGGGAAACAAAACCTACTTGATGTGTGTCAACATGTCTTTCACCATTGGGCACGCTTGTTGAAAATTAATATTGTGACCGTAACCGTCGATCCAATAATGTTTTAAATCTCTTGAAAATTCCATTATTTTCATTTCTTTTTCGGTAAATACGTAGCACCAAGGTGACGTTTCACGGTTCATGGCACTTTCGAAACCGCAGGCTGTGTACATCATGTCAACAACATCTAAAATAAATATATTTTTAATTCAAACATCATTATTATTATTTCTATACAAATCAAAGGTGCAGCTGCTTTATAAAAAAGGTTTACAAGGTATTCGGAAAAAAAAAAAAAAAAAACAAGGTACTAATTACCATCTTTTGTGTCGCGCTTTTAATTCGATAATACACGTATTCGGTGTTCACACATGTTTTAAAAACTCAAAATAATAATATTATTAATTCACACGGGCAAATTCAAAGTTTCCGTAGTGTAGTGGTTATCACGTGCGCCTCACACGCGCAAGGTCCCCGGTTCGATCCCGGGCGGGAACAAATTTTGAGTTTTTTCTTTTTTTTAACTTGTTCATTTGCAATGTTACGTAAATTACAAAAACAAAAATAACAAAAAAAACGTTAGATTTATTATTATTATTTGTTTTTTCTCATGCGAATTTAAATATTAGATTTAATACATTAATTATTATTATTATTATTTTTAAAATTACCAAAATTTTGCCCCTAATAAATTGAAATTCAATTGATGTACTCAGTATTAAATTTTAATTTCACGTACAATTTTTTAATATTATTTT